GAAGCTGCAGTAAATCTTGTGTGTTGGCATTCCAAGTCAGAGACATGATAAGGATCATACTTTGAACTGTATTAACAAATGTAACACTCCATCCTGAGCAGATTGAAGGAATTGAACATAAGTGATGCATAGGATAGAATTTATTAATATTTAATAGAGAAATGCTTAAATATGTATTTTTAAGTTAGGACAAAATAACTGTTCTTTCTTTCCACAACAAAGGATTTGCCAGATAGGAAAAGTTTTATTTAAAAAAAGTTTGATTATCATCCTCATTATACACATTACAAATAACACGGAATAAAAATAGATTTAGATTCCATAAAACTCTGCTCTACTTTTACTTCTAAAGGAGAATAAGGTAGTTTAAGTGTTCAGTTTAAGTGTTCAGTTTCTTAAAAGCTTGGTTCTACGCTTAGGGTTCTGCTCTACAAATAATAAATCATGTACCATTCTTATGAGAAATATGTGTGGATTGTGCACTTAACTAAAAGCATGATATGACTAGTTTCATGCCATACATATAGTATGCATGATTTCAAATCAATATCAAGAACAAAAAGGGTGGAGAAGTAGGACGAGAAGTTGGTGCAAAGCATGACTTTGCCTTAATCCTGACTTCCATTACGTTTTCTATCTACTGTTTGGAAATGAGCCAGCTTAATTCAGAAGTACAAAGTTTATTTTGTGGGATTTTGAGTTTTGTTAAGGGCTCATTTTTAAAAACTTGTTGTTTTTAAAGAAATGGAATTATGACATTTAATCATGCCACCCACAGAAAGTGTTTTTTGTTGGTTTTTTTTTTTTTTTTTTTTTTTTTCCTTTAACTGAAAAATATTTCAGCCTCTGTCCAAACGAACTACAACTTTACAGTCTGGGATGTGAGCAGCCAGTGTGCCTTTTTCATCATAAGTGTTTAAAATTTTTTAAGAATTAAGAAAAGAACATGATATTCAGTTAAGTATGGAAGTACCTTGAAGAGATTAGCCCATTGGTCTTTTAGAATGGAAAGTGCAAAAGACAATAACGTATGTACAAGAAGTACCTGGAATGCAAGTTAGTGATTTTATTGCATCTTAACCCATTGTTTTACTTTAACTTATGATAAATTTTGAAGATTTTAATGAATATTTTAATTAGCACGTGTCCAATATGCAAGCCTGTGGCAATCATTCTAAGCTTGCTTTTGCAATGTCACCTGGCAAGAAAGAGGCAGGTTTATTGTTTCAGTGCTTCCTAACTTGGATGTAGAATATTTCCTTTAAGGACAAATTTTAAAGAGCCATAGAAAATAACTTAAGGTTTTATTTTATCATTCACCAAATTAGTAGTTTGGCTAGGGTATATTTTTGCTTTGTAAATTCTTTGACTCTTTGACATTCTTTGACAATGTTTAAAATAAATCAGAACATTCAGATTTAAAATGTTGTTTGACTTAAAGATTTTGTGCAACTTTTGCCTTTGGTAAATAGCCCAAACTCCAAACAAAATATCTTCCACAGGTAACAGCAAATTATTTTTTAATTAATCTATTTAAAATACTAACAACTTGAGAGAAGTGGGATGTATGTCTACATATATAATTTGTAAAGTGCTCATTTGGTTTCTATTCTCATACAAGAAAATGTATAAAGGTTTTATGGTAGTAAACAGTCCCTCCCAAGTAGGCAAGCATCTGGGGCTTTTTGGTATTATTTTGGGCTTTTTTTTTTTAAATAGAGACAAGTGACTAAATTTAAAAGCAATTACATATCTGATATTACTAGTCTGGCTGATTTTCATGAAAAATTCTTTCTGTGATTCATGTACATTTTATGATTACTCATGATTTCCTGCATAGTTCCCAACTCTCTTTGTGACTCCACACATAAAATAAATAGCATAAATAAAACAGCATGATAAAATCACTGTTCTGTGTGCACAGTTCATTCTATTTGTAACACTTGGCTGAGGCATAGGATTTTTTCCAAAAGGAAAAGTGCCATCTACTGAATCACCAAAACAAAACTTTGCAGCATCTTGAGCGATTTTCCTGAGAGATGTCTTTCCCAATAACTGATCAGACCAAACCTCACTCGACTTGTAAATTTTAATGAGATCATTACTGGCCCTGATACGGTTGAGTGACACAGTACTTCACTAAGTATTCATTTAACATGTGTATTGTCTTTGTTTGGGTTCTTTTTTCCGGATTAGATGTTTCTGGATTTCAAATGTTAGTGGAAAATCAGTGAACTGCACTTTGAATGTCTTATGCTTTTATTTTCAAAGTAACTTTCTCCCTCAAGATGTCTGGGGAGACTTCCTGTGCATCCCCTGCATCTCTCTCATGGCCTACAGAGGTCAGACTTCCAGTAAGGAGTTACTCCTATTTTCCTGATTAGCCAGTTTGGGTTTGGTAGAGGTATAGACAGAAAGACTATAAAAAGAATAAACTGATAGCACACTGATAAATAACACTTTATAAAGAGACAGCAGCAAAAAGAAATAAAACAATTGGTAGATAACTTCCATATGGGAAACCACCTACGAGTTAACTGAGAAAGGGTCTGGCAAGGTATAGAATGTTTTTCAAAAGGCATAAAATTGCTTGAAAGACCAATAGGACAATGAACTTTACTCAGGACTTAGAAGTGCTGTCAGTTTTTTTCAGAGCTAAGCAGTAGATACTTGAATGAATAAAAAATATCAGCCACTATATGATTCTGCACAGCTCTCAGAAGAATGCCACTACAGAAGTGGAGGGATTGGTAAAATGAACATGATTTATCCTCAAAACTTTGGGAAGTCTCCAAAGGTGGTCACAAGATTAATGAAATTGGATAAACACAATATTATGGGTAAAATCTTGTCATGACTTAAAACTAACTGATGAGATAGAACAGGAGTCAATTCTCCTTTCTTAAAGAAAAAATATTTAGCAGTGAGCAAGAGATGGCAACACTTTTTACTGAGACAGTATATAAAATGTAAGCAATTGTGTATGAGGGGTATATTTAATAATGAATTCCCAATTGGACTGGACAGGGTCTGTAGCAAATCTAGTAGCAATTTGTGACAATGATGATTATTTCTACAGTAATATGGTAGAAACCATCACTTACCCATGTAAGCCATGTTATGTGTAGGTACGTACAGTATACTGTTGTATAGTAACTAACTTTTCTCAGAAAATAGGCTTTTTTCTCTAACTAAAAACTGGATATGTACAGGTGTCTACACAGATGATTTCACTGATAGCTTTCTGTAAATGTTTTATTTTTTCTGTTCATACAATGCCCTTGAGGAATAATATTCAAACATATTTAAAACTTATTCAACAACTTGTGGGTTTCTTTTTTCCTAATTTAGTGGTGACTGCAGTTTGGAAATTCTGACTGTATTACTTAGCTAGCTTCAAAAATCATATGATGTTGTTGCTCATATAGAAACAGTTAAGTAAAAATAACCAAAAGGAATGCTTTTAAAAGTCAGTGTTGGAAGAACTTTAGTGAGATGAAAAAGAAATCTTCCATTTTACTTGAAAATCAAGAGGAAAGACATGGGCTCTCCTTGAACACGGTCTCACTGAAATTATTTGAAAGGTCTTTAAAACACCTGGGAAAAAAATTTGCACTATATGCCCACTAACAAATTATTTCAGCCAAACACCACAGATTTTATAGTGACAAAATGTGGAGAGACAATTACAGTTAATGCTAGACAGTAACAGGTGCTGTCAGGCCCTCTCTATTCATATCCCAGTCCCACAATCTTCCCAGAGACAAACTGTTCATCACCAAGTGAGATTTTTACCACGTGCAGACACAACATTCTGGGCAAGGTTGCTTCTCCCTTCCTGCTTTAGCTAGGTTAAAACATTTCAGGCTGCCAAAACTCTCAGAAACACAACATCAAAGTCAGCTGCAGCCATGCAGGGCAACCCTTAAAGCAGGGCTTGGCTGCATGCCTCCTTGCTGTTCATAGCTAGTGGGAGGTAGGAGTACCTAAACCAACTCCTTTTACCTCTTTTGCAGCAAGACGAAAAACCACCAGAGGTGAGTGATATCTTGCAATCTCTTCATTTTGCCCCACAGATCAGTCTGTGAATAGCGCCAGGGAAAGTGAGTGTTGTAAAGCTGCACTGGCCTGTAGTTCAGAGAAAGAGCCTGACGGCACATTCATCTGGCTCACGTGCATTTTTATTTCTATTGATGAGAGACACAACCTTTACTTCCCAACCAGAATAGGGTCTACCGACCCCTGCGTTTTTGCACGGCAGTATACAGGGGTGAGCAGACGCCTTTTACCAATTCTGTGGCTTTTACAGAACACTGTCCTTCCTCATAACTTCATTCCAGCAGCAAAGTTCAAACCAAGCAATGTACACTCCAGGCGAGCCAAAGTAGTGACTTTACAGTACAGGGGTATGTGAGTGTCTCTTCCCAATTATGACTTTTATCACCAGAAACAGGCACTGGTGTTGCCTCCTTCGACAGGAATTATTCAATGAGCCAGCCACGAAAAGTGTTTCCTTTTTGAGGGGCTGTTTTGGGGGCTAAGTATTTTTCTCCGGAGAGCTTGCGCGACCCGTCCCCGCTCCCAAGGACCACCGGTGCGTGCGCGCTGGGGGGGTTCCAGGGGCGATACAGCACCGTGCACTCTCTGGGAGATACAGCGCAGCCCACTCACCCCCGCGGGCCTTGAGGCGCGGAGGAGGCGGGAGAGTCTCTCTTCCGCAGAAGCCGCCTTGCCTCCCCCGCCCCTCCGGAGCGCGGGCGGTGGGCGCTCCTCCCCCGGCCCCTCTCGCCGCCCGGGGCCGGTGCCGGGGCCGGTGGTGGCGCGGGCGGCGGCGCGGGCGGGGCGAGGCGCAGGCGCGGCGCACGGCGGGGCTGCAGCCGGGCCCCCGCGCCGCTCCGGGAGCCCATGGCAGCAGCTGCACAGCGCGGCCGCCCGGCGGAGCGCGGCGCGGCGCGGCGCCCCCGGCGCGGGATGCGCGGGCGGGCAGGCGGCGGCGGCGGCAGTGGCTGCGGCAGCTCCGGGAGCCGGAGGGACGGGGCCGGGCGGCCGGCGACCGCCGCGCTCCCCTGACCTGCGTGCCCCGCTGGCCGCACCGGGCTGCCCCAAAGGATGTCCGCCCAGTCCAAGGGGACCGCATCCTCCTCCTCTTCGCCGTCCGAGGGGCCGCCGGCAGCCTCCAAAGCCAAGGTGAAGGAGCAGATCAAGATCATCGTGGAGGATTTGGAATTAGTCCTGGGGGACCTGAAGGATGTCGCCAAGGAACTTAAGGAGGTGAGAAACGAAGGGCTGCGCGGGCTGACCTCCGGTCTGCCCCGTATGGGGCGAGAGCCCCATCGCCCGCAGGCCGGGGTCCGGCTCCCGGTGCAGCTCCGCTGCCGCCCCCAGGCTCCTTTCGCCGCTTCTTCACCGCGGGTCAAGCAACTGGTGTCCAGGCTGGGTAGCTCCCAGTCGTATCCAGGGGCGGGCGGCTGAGCCTCGGTGCGGCGCCCGGCGGTCTGGGATGGGACGAGGAGCGCGGTTGGAGCCCCGTGTCCCGAATGCCAGGCGCCCCGTCGCCGGGCGTGCTCCCCTCGGCTGCGAGGCGGCTCTGCCTGGGAACTTCCCACCTCAGCGAATCCCTCGGAGTTTTATTTTTTCCCGGGAGGCCGAGAGTGCCTCTCCTGCGAGGTTCCTGCTGGGCAAGGAGGGTGTTCGGGGGAGCTGCGGGACTCGCAGCCCTGCCCTATTCCGGGCTGCGCCGGGCCGGCATCCCGACGGTGGGAGAGGAGTGAAGAACGACCGCACTCCCGCTGCAGCGGGTTTAACTTTCGGGTTGCACCGTGCAGCCCCACGCTCACCCCCAGGGAGCAACCCGGCTCTCATTTCCCCCCCGGGCCGGGCTGAGTGGCTCCGGACCCGCGCACCCGCCGCCCTTGGCGAAGGGTCCGTGCCCGGCGCCGGCAGCACCGGCTTGGGGAAGTCTGCTTCCGCCTCTGCAGCCTGCTTCCCTGGGAGCTGAGCGCCCTGTTTATCTTCTTTATCTGGCAAGATTGCCTTTGCAATCTCTCTTTTGCCGGTGGCGAGTGTCATCTTTCTCAGGTTAATCTGCAGGCAGAGTGCGATTACCGCGGGCATGTTCATAAGCAGGGAAATGAGTAGCCGAAGGATGAGAATTTGGCTGTCCTTTTGGAGATTTCTACATTCTCTTGATTTTGCTACACAACTGGTCGACAGATGGTTGGATTATGCACCGAAATTCAAGTCTAGAATCTCTGTGCATTGCTTTATAATCCCGTATTTGACATTTATAACAGGCTGTGATTTTTTGCTATCAAATATTAGTTTTCTATTTTAACAACATTGTCAACAAGTTTCATTCAACAGTCTTTTGCCATCTGAGGCAATCTGAATTTCACCCAGTGCGTTGTATAATGTTGAAAGATGTATAAACACATGGCTCACTAATCACAGCTGTTAGGCTTCTTTCTCACTCACGATTCCAGATTTCTCCTTTTTTTTATTAATATATCTATAATTTCTATTTTCCTTAATGTACTGCTGTCTATGCTTTGTAATTTTTGTGGTATTTTGAAGTGGGAGTAAACACTGTAGAGCAGCTCTTACACCAGTTTTTAAGACTGATGGTGCAAACTGGCTTCTGTTGCTGCAGAAGAACATTTTCAGGACCTGGAGAGGATGTAATGTGCTTTGTCCCATGAATGTAAATCGTTCGCCGCACGTAATCAGCCCTAGCTTTCTTCTAGTGAGCAAACAGGATTGCTGTAAGTGGAGATCATATATCATCATTTACTGTGGCATGTTTTATCTAAGCAAACTTGTCTGTTCTGGTTGACTGCATCTGTGATAGAGAAATGGATTTACCTCTGCTTGATGGAGAAATTTATAGAGAAGTGGAGCTGTAACTCTCTTAAGTAGCGTGTACCTGTTGAAGGGTGGAAGGATTGCCAAAACCATCTGTTTTGAGAAAATAAAAGTGTTTTTATAAAAAGAATAGTTAAATCTTGATTGTAGCTACACATGAGATTTTGAGTAATGCTTTTCACCAAATAAGTCTTACAAAGATCATAGCTGTGATAGTTCAGTAAGCAGGAATTGAATACACATACATCTCCTTGCTTGCAATATTATCATTATCTGTTAAATACACTGTGTATGATATTTACATTGAAAAGTCTGCAAAAGTTTGACATCTGAGTACCTTCAGTTGGCTGCCTTTGTAGTATGGACTCAATCTGTTCAAAACCGTTTAGACATAACTGCAGTGTATACTTTTTAGGTGAAAGTAAGGTAATTGATGATATTATAAGCTAATCATCAGTCTTTTTCATAGATTGTTTGTAGATGTTAGAAAGCACTGGCAGCTCATCCGTTAAAGCAAATGCGAAGTTAGCTTATAGTCAGTTTTGGTGTATTACATATAGAAATATACCTGTCCTTTATTTAGGTTCCCTACTGTAGGATCAGTCAAAGGGATAAACTAGTGGATGTAAGTTTATACCTTCCATTTTCACTACAAATTGTGTTTTTCTGTTTTTCTGAAAATGTTATTGCTACCTTTCCTCCCTGCCCTCCACACTGGGGGTTTGCTGCAGTCTAGCTGTTGTGCTGTGTTTTCTGTTTGGTGTTTTTTATTTTATTTTTTTTTTTCTTCTATTAGGAATATGGTATTCTGAAAAGAGCATTTCATTTTTTTAATTACTATTTCAGAAGTCTTCAGTTCTGGTATAGCGGTAGGACATGAAGGTTTTTTTTGGTGCAGTTCCAGTAGTAGTTCTGAGTAGAAAATTTGGTGTAATATTTATTTGTGGTATACATAATTTGTAAAACAATTTTTTTTCTATTTATACCTACATATTTGTTAACCTTAAATATAAATTATGATTATACTTAAAATAGCACTTCAGGTATTGTGATAAACTGGATGTCTTCTAGCATCCTTCAGTCTTCTTTTGTAAGATTTTATGGTCAAAACGCTGTCAAATTGAAATATGGTTTCATTGCTTCAAAGTGAACTGTTCTGTAACAGTAAAGAGCATGGCTGTACAGGACTTCTATGCCTTGTTACATTTAGCTTATGATGGTTTACTTACATTTCTATCTGCCCTTCGTTCTGAAGCTTTTTCTAGTCGGTTCTTTAGCTTTTTTTGTTTTGTTTTTAAATAGGGGAAAAGGAGGAGTGGGTAGAAGATGGGATGTTAAATCCAGATGCACAAACCATGAAGTTTATAAATATACTCTAGAAGCATGTGACTAAATCATGTGTATTAAAACTAGTACATTTTAAGAGTTACTGTGTCTCAGAAGTGCAACATCTGTCTCTTCCTTCCCACCTCCCGCACTCCCCTTCCCCCTAATTTATTGGTCTTGTCTGCTTAGGCTGAGGTAACCACAGAAGATTAAGACTGCAGAAAGGGGGTGACGGGGAGACATGATAGGATGGAGTGATGCTGAGTCCAGAGTCTCAGCTGGTGTATGGCAGTCTTCTCTAGGGTGCAGTTAATTTAGGGGAGGCTTGGCCCCTTTTGTCTTCTTGCTAAAGAGAAACATCTTGAGGCTGTGTAGCAACAACAGGATGTGTTTTTGTGTTGAAATGGATTAAGTGGCTCTTATTTGATGAATATTCCAAAGAAAAATCAAAGGAGTGCCAGAGGATTGAGTAACACTTTCTATTCCTTTAGTCCAGATTATTTCAAAATCAAGTTGGCAGAGCCTTAAACTTTGGTTCTCCTCCAGAGGGCTGAATAAAAGACTTTTTTCACTGAAGTCTGTCTAGAAAGATGATTATTATAAAGTCTTGTTTTGGAGTTGATACTTATCTGTCTGGTACCTAAATAATGTCCAGCTGGAAACCAGAGGATGTGTGCTAAATTATATTGATTGTAAAATGCATGATGTAGCCCTAATTCTCTGATGACTTCAGAAGGGACTGTAGGAGATGTGCATTTGCAGCTGCAGACAACAGGGCACAGAGATTTATGTTATCCTAATACTGATATTGTAATTTTTAAGACTTCCCTCCTTTCACATTTTATGATAATGTTGCACATTTCTGTAGCCTTGCACTTGTTTTCATTAAGGAAATACTTAACTAAATAATTTGATAAATACTTTTTGTAGCAATAAAAATTCATCGTGCAGAACAAATTCCTGGAAGTTATGTGTGAGACATTTGCATAGCTTTTAATTGGCTAAATACTCTTCAACCTTTTATCAAAAGGAAGCAGCTGTGTAGCTATTGCCAATGTTTAGAATAATCCAAAATGGAGGTTCAGGAGAAACAGAAGCCCTCATAGGCGTTGCACATGGATCAGTAAATTTCCAGTCTTTTGAATCTACCTCCACTGTTTTAAATCCTGTGAAAATGTCCTGCTGATGGAATGAGTGCATAATTCTCTGTCATCTAACTGATGTGTTTATTATCCATAAAGATGTGATCTATAAAATTTAAGCATGACTTAACAAATAATATTTTCTAAGTGATGAAATTAGCAGATACCAATCCCCCTCCCTCAAAACACCATAACAAAGTTTGTTAGGGGATAGACAACCTGACTTCATAACCAGGCCGGTCATCATTCTCTTAAGTGGAGAGTGGTCATGTATTTTGTGGTCTTAATTTCTGAATCAGGCCTGCAGAAGTGTTTTACGATTTCAACACCAGTGTTTTCCATTGCATTTTTGGTTTTGTGTTCTGATAACAATGAAGATGGTAGGAAGGTTCTTGCCTGTTAATCCAGAAAATAGGAGGCTCCAGTTTGTATCTACCAAATACAAATGATTGGAGCAGCAACAATCAGTCATGTATCAGTATCTCTGATGTGCAGGCAGCAATACAAGCAACAATATAAAAAATCTTTTGGGTTCATGCTGCTGCGTGGAGCTGAGCCAGGGAGTTATTACAGCATAGTTATAGGATATACTATATAGAAATCTAAGGGTAGGTAGAACAATACCAAAGCATTTTAATCTATTCCTTCTTCTCCTTCTGATTCTTGCCTCTTCTCCTCTTTGTATTCTCTCCAGGTGTCAAGGACCTGCCACTCTTTTTACTATGCAGTGGCAGTTGAAGGGAGAGGTTTTTGAGCATATTTGTTCCTACCATTAAAAATCCAATAAATGCAGATGCTCTACTTATATCTGGATCCTGGATGCAGGCCTGCTTAACAGTGTTCCTCCTGGAGTCTTGCTTCAGTGGATACACTGTCTGTATATGCAGATCCTGGTCAGAAATGAGAAGGACAGAAGCTTCTTCGTAATTTCTATTGCTGTGG